TTTCACGGTAGCCCCCGAATCAGTTTTCGCAAAATAAGTATTTTATTTATTTATTCAGAAAAATTGCGAAAAATAGCGTACTCTGATGTAATAGTAAGTCGGGGTGTTACAAAGGTAATCATGAAATCGGCCAAAATCAAGATGTAATCCCCACCGATGGGGCCGAATATGACTCACCCCATGAGGAGGACGATGATGAATTAGGATCAAATTACGAGACGAAGACCAAGAGGAGATGACTCTTCTTTCGGCGAAGAAGATAAAAATGACGAGGATGAAGAAGAAGAAGATGATGATTATCATGAACGATCGATTGATCAAGATGACGAGTCATCTTATTCATCCCCGTCTTCACCGAAGAAGAGCCATCCGAACATGATGAGTCGTCTCGTTCGTCTTCCTTATCTGTCGAGGCTCGTAATTTGTCATCATCATCTTCATGGGTGAGTCATATTCGGCCCCATGGTGAGAATCACTAGTCACCACATACCATTATCATACACTTCTTTTTCTTTTCTTTTATTTGTTTTGTATTGTAGATCTTGATTGAGCAGTTTTTATAGCATGTGTTGAGATTGGTTGGGCATGAGAGTAAAATGTGTTTGACTGGTGAAATTTGCATGTCTTATCTTTTTATTTACTCAATTATATATTATATATATTTATTTATCAAGTTTTATCATACTTTATAACCAAACTTATTATTATTATTGTTATATTGTTATTATTATTATAGAACTGTTCTGTATTTTCGACTAAGAAATATAGTCCACCAACTTTTTATATAGCAATTTTTGTCCATCAATTTTATTGAATATTTCCAAATTGTTTTTGTACAATTTCCACCACCATATCATAATTTTGCAATTTTTTGTACAATTACCTTGGTAGTAGAGTTGCTATACGAAACAGACTCGCCCGCTTCTGACTTCGGCTCGCCTCTTTTGTTAAGCGAGTCGAGCTCGTTAGGCTTAAAAAATAGAACTTTTTAAATTTCAAGAGAAATTTCACCCACACATATTTTCGACTTATCGATTCTCACTATATGTAATTAAAATCGAAGACAATAAGATTGTATTACTATCGTCGTAATCAATTAAAACCATACCAAGAAACTATGAATACTATTAAGGAGAGCAACATCTTTATATTGGGATAAGATCACATAACCCATTTAATTTACGCTACAATCTTGGAATCAATTGCTTCGACAAACAACATCGATTCATCGTCCTATGAAAAGAAGTCGCATCCTCCTCGTCTATGAGCCATAAAAAACAAAAGGAATAGAAAAGAAACGAGAAATTAATTTGCCATCTCAAGAGATCGACAGTTCAAGCACGAAGTAACTAATCCGTTGAATATTATTTACTTGTTCAATTGTTTTACCAAAGAAGGACAATACCTAAATCCGGTCAATTACCAATCTTAGTTTCTTCTAATGAAAGACGCATATGATCTAAATCCGCCTCATACATAAGTAAGTTAAATTAAAGCTCATTCAGCCATTCATAACTTGAGAAGTATGATGAACAGGTCTCCTCGACTCCATAGTTATCTCCCGCGCTCCCCAACAAATGGAATTTGACACGCGATGATGACAACTGCTGTTGTAAATAATCAAAAAACCCATCGTCTCTATCTGGGAAAAACAACAACATTGTAAAAACACAACAAATCAAACAAACTTATAAAATGTAAAAAAAAAAAAAAAAAAAA